TACGTCAGTGCGATGTAGCAACATTCATCTTGTGTCTGTGGTTTTATGTTGTGGATAATTGCTGAATACTGAGAGAATGGCATGTGGCGCCATAAACGGGGATGCTGCTTACCAGATGTGACGTCTCTCATATTCTCTGATAAATTCAGGCAATCGGCCTAAGACGTTTCTTGAATCATATGAGCATGTGCCTAAAGACAGCTTGTACAATGTCTAAATGACCTTCTTTGAACACGAGCATAAAACATGCAGTAAAGACACATGTGAAATAAATCATGACATGTTGAAGCAGGCTTTCCTGTTCACACCCAAACCCATGTAGTGCCTCTTGTCCCATGGCCAGAGCGGTCCACAGACTGCGTTGGAGTGTCCGTCCCAGGTCTGCTGGCATCCAGAGTGCCCCGCCCACTGCTTAACTGAGTGGAAATGCTGAAACCAGCTGCCTTGTTACGTATGTCTGTGTCCCGGGGAGGAGGCCAAATCGGGGTTTTCGGCAGCCAGTGGTTGAATGTGTGTGGTTGTGCACATGCGTGTGAATGTTTTGCCTCTGCAGTTGGGGTTTTGAAAGCGGAGAAGGGGGGGCGGGGGCGGGGAGGGGGGAGGGGGGGGGGGCAGGATGTTCTGTGGTTTAATAACTGCGATGTGCTTTTCAGCTTGATTGGCAGTACATAACTCAACATAATTAAGATGAAGAGAATAAAAAAAAATCTTCAAAGTACGTCTGATTAATGCGCAGGATGTTCTGTTTTTGAATGTGTTTTTTTTATTTCCTACTTCCTGCAGGTGTACGAATTTGCAGTGAAAGAGGTCCTGATCCATCGTGTTCCTTTGGGTGATGGAGGCACCTCGCCCCAAAAGAAGAAAAGGAAGCACAGGCATGATGTCACCAATTTTCTCTCGCTTTTGCTCCTGCCTTTTGCTGATTGCTGGAAACATAAGTCTTGGGAAAAGGGAGCTCGTTGAAACTTGCCTGAATACACATTTAAAAAGATAAACAATTCATGTCAATGTCTGTGTTTTTTGCCTCGCATTAGTGTTAAAAGTTCATTTGTTCTTCCTTTCAAAAATGAATTTGTTACTCTGAATAATCCCAGAAGAGTGTATTATTAAATAGGTGGGATGAGTTATTGACTAATTTAAATAAAACCCCCTTCCCCTTTTTTTATGTGGTAGGTTATGGGCAAAGATCCAACTAAAGAAGGGTATGTTTATCCTAAAAATAACTATTACATTAATATTGTGCCCTCTGAAATACAACCCAGCTTGATGTGCCGCTCAGAGAGCTTTGTCCTCTGTTGCTCCAGATAACTCGTCCAATCAGGTGTACAACTACCAGCCATGTGATCACCCCGACCATCCATGCGACAGCTCCTGTCCTTGTGTGATGACCCAGAATTTCTGTGAAAAGTTCTGCCAGTGCAAACACGAGTGTAAGTGTAACCTTTTCTCTTATTCACCTGTGCAGGCCTTATCTCTTCTTCTGTCATTCTCGCAAGAACAGAAACTCATAATGAAGTTGCACTGCCTTTGTGATGCTGAAGTAAAATTGATGAGAATGTTTCTGTCATAGCCATTTCCCGCTGAGAGCATTCTGCAGCTTCAAAACCCTTTTTCTTCAGGCCACAGACGGGCAGGGCAGCAGAATGTAAATTGATTCTGCAGTGTTCTGGCTCCGGCCAGAGGAGAAAGTATCCTCTAGTGGGGATAGGTGGGTGTCTGTTTTATACAAAGCTGTGCTCATAATGAGGCATTGCTGCAGCAACAATGTCCCAGAACTGTGTTCTCTGAATCGGCCACATGGTGGAGGAAGGGATTTTGTTGTTTGCCCTCTGGAGAGTTTTTAAATCAAAGACCGAGGCTAAGACGGAGTAAACAGTTTGTTGGGGTTGAAGGAGATTGTTTTGCCTCATTTGTTCATCTGTTGTGGTTCAGTCCCCCCACTCTCCCTCCTCCTCACCCGACTGTTCCCTCGCCTTTTCCCGTAGCAGACCTGAGCAGAGGCCAAACAGGAAGCGGCCTCCAGTTGCAAATGCGTGCTCACTAAAGAGTTGGAGAGAAATCAAAGGGACGTGACAGGCTCTGTGCCTGGTACTGAACGTCATCTGCAGCATCAGTATGAGTCAGACAGTTCCAGCTAAACAAGCCTTGATGATACAGACACATAAAAAAAACTACACAGGCTTGGAAGGTCCATAACAGTGGAGAGACATTTTGCCTGGAGCTCTTGTTATGGACAGTTCTCCCCCAAGAAGAGGCTGCAGGAAAGATATTTCAGTAAATCTTGCCTGATCCTTCTTTTCATCTGCCCAGAGGGTGTTATGTTACACCCTGCAAAATTGTATTTCAGCATATCTGCCAGCAGAGGTCCCAAACTGATGAGCCTTCTATGAATTACTCAGCCGTTGGGCTTCTGTGCTGCGACTGCATTTAGAGCTGGAATCATTTTTTTTTTTTGTACATGTATTCGGCACAAGTCTTTTGTGTTGGTCTTTCTGTTTTGCTGCATGAAACTCGGCACGTCCTCACTCTGAGCAGCTGTGTGTCTAAATGTTTTCCAGGCCAGAACCGCTTCCCAGGCTGCAGGTGTAAGACACAGTGCAACACTAAACAGTGTCCCTGCTACCTCGCTGTGAGGGAGTGTGACCCAGATCTGTGCATGACCTGTGGCGCGGCAGACCACTGCGACAGCAAAGGGGTGTCCTGTAAGAACTGCAGTATACAGAGGGGCCTGAAAAAGGTAGCCAAGGGCACTGAATGTCGAACTAACTTTATGTTTAAAAAAATTATTCATTTTTTTGCATTTTGCGGTACCTAAAACTCCTTTTTGACTAGTGGGGTCCTGACTTATTTCAGCACTTGCTGTTGGCTCCATCAGATGTGGCCGGATGGGGCACCTTCATCAAAGAGGCAGTTCAAAAGAACGAGTTTATTTCTGAATACTGTGGGGAGGCAAGTCCAAACAGTTTAGTCTCATTCATTTAAAACACGTATGCATTGGCTCTGGGCTCTCAGCTTGATTGGAGTTTTTTTTGTTTTTTTTGTTTTTTTTGTTTTTATTCTTGTGTGTTTGCACAAACAGCTGATCTCCCAGGATGAGGCAGACCGACGTGGAAGGATCTATGACAAATACATGTCCAGCTTCCTCTTCAACTTGAACAATGGCAAGTTTCCCCCACTTCCCCTCTAGCCAACGACTTACCAATATTACAGTACACTTAAGAAATCCTGAATGTGCTCTGTCTCTCTGTAGACTTTGTTGTGGATGCCACTCGAAAGGGGAACAAAATCCGCTTTGCAAATCATTCAGTTAATCCTAACTGCTACGCTAAAGGTTAGTATCTTTGTTTTATTGATGGAGTCAAATGAGAGTTTGAGAGGATCTTTGTGGACTGAAAGCTGCCTCTTCTTGGCTGATGTTGAGTTTGATGTCACTGCAGTGGTAATGGTGAATGGAGACCATCGCATTGGAATCTTTGCCAAACGAGCAATCCTGCAGGGAGAGGAGCTTTTCTTTGACTACAGGTAGAAACATTGGCCTTTTTGTGACAGCTTCAAAGTAAAGAACAAAAAACAAAGCAGCTGACTGAATCCATGGCTTCTTAAGTTACTGTGTACAAGCTCACTGCCTCCCCTTCATCTTTATCTTCCACAGATACAGCCAAGCTGACGCTCTCAAATATGTGGGGATAGAGAGGGAGGCCGAAATGACTTAGCTACCTGCTGCCTTCCTCCATAACCTGATTGGAAGTCCTCAGCTGCCCACTCATGCTTCTGTCCCTCCATGCAGCCTCACATCCAGCTGACAGATCTCTATGAACAGTCACCGTCTCCACCCTCTCTGCTAATCTTCTAAAAATAGAAAGTCCCTGCTGATTGCAGGTGCCTCTGCTCTGCAGACACAGTGTCAGTGTGTTCTCCCACTCATCTCCCCAAACCCACCCACCCACCCACCTGCAAAATCGTATAAACCGAGCTTATAAAACTAATCTATTTAAAGTGGAAATACTATTAATCCATTTTGCAAGAGGATCATGTTTTGTTTTTTGTTGTTGTTTTTTTTTTTTTTGTTAAATCTTGTCAAAGCAAAGTGGCCACGGTTTCCCATGATTCTTTGCTTCTCTCCGTTTTGTTACTGTACTTACAGTATAGACCAGCTTATGTTTGACCTCTATGTGTAATGCAAGCTTTTACATCGTACCTACTGATCAGTGAAATGCATGTGCTGTCTCTTGCATAAACAAACCATTAAATATATTAGCCGCAGCGTTAGCTTCAGTCAGATGCTGCTCTGTGCAAGTAGAAAAAAAAAAAAAACGACGTTTCTGTGCATTTATGATACATTGTTCTGCAAAAATAGGCAACCAGACAAGAAAACCGACTGACTGAATGTAACCTGTAGATGATGGTGAAGAGATCTCATCCCCTCTCTTAATTTCTCATATTATCAACCGATTGGTACTCAAAGCAACGTACACACACATCAAATTTGTATCGTCACGTTTACATGATCTCGAGGTCTTCGCGTTGAGTGAAAACGTTCTCTAGTCACACAGTAAATGTCTTCCTATATATTTGTTAATGTGCCAAATGGTTCCACGCAGAAAGATGCTGACAAAATGTGGATGTGTTGCATAATAACCAGAGACAAGTTCAAGGTGACCTTTGAAAGGTCACGACCATGAAAAAAAAGCAAAATTCTCAGTATTTGACCAAAAATTGAAAAGTCCCCCACGTGTGAATGTATACCATTCATTATCTGTACTTATTCCATTTACTTTCCAGAAGTGTTATTCTGTCTTTCATTTACAAAACATTAAACACCCACTTCTAATAAATGAGATCTTTCTCAATAGAGATGAACAAAATGGAGTTTACTGCTATGTACAGTGTTTGCCTATAAAAATAAAAGTTTAACTTTATACATTAAAATGTGTCTGTTGGCTTTCACTGTGCAGAAACACCCCCCCCCCCCCCCCCCAGCTTCACATAACTTGAGACAATTTCCTTCAAGCTTCTTTTATTGTAGTGACAATTTGGCGTTGCCTTGATTTACACAGTAATGGTCATTTACAGTGAAGGTTTTACAAAAAAACAAAACTGAGCATACTCCAGTACAGGAAAAAGTCCTACATTTCAGTGTGATCACAAACACCTGTAATGATCATCTCTGGTACCTGTTGCAGAAGGATTCAGTTTGTTGGTGCAGACGAGTCTGATCTGTCTTCACCTCATACTCCTCACTCGGGTGCTTCATTTGATTTTATAAGCGATGCCACTATTGGGTGGGTATCTAACACTGTCTTGTCACCTATGAAAATATCTCAGCATTAATATGCATGAAATCTCAGGTTTGCAAAGAACTCAGAACAGTTACTTGATAGTCATCACTCCAACTGAATTTATTCTGTACTGTATTTCATTTCTGAACTTTCCACTGCTTTGACAAAAGAGAATTTAACAGCACTTCACACATCTGACTTTTTCTTTAAATCAGTAGATACCCTGTCGAGCTAACAACATCCTTTTCACCTACTCCCCCTAGTGGCCATTTTATCTTAATCCCTCTGATGCAGTAAGGAGATTTTAGGATATGCACTGATTTAACGTGCTTGTACCTTTCAGAACACTGAGAAGCCTCTCTAAGCTACACCTAGCCGTGTTCCTCTCTCACTGTAACTCTGTTGGTGCACTACAATAAGTGAGTTGGATGGTTGGCAACGGTGCACATTAGCTTTTTTTTGTATTTTATTATTATTATTTTTTTACATGAGAGTCATTGTTTAACACCAGCAGGCTGAATCTTGCTGGGCAAATGAATACACAAACACCTACACATCCAGTCAGTCGCACAGACACACACTCCAGGGACCACGCATGATTAATAGTGAGTGACAATGAGGTGACACTGCTAAGCTGAATGTTTACCAGTGAATACAATGAGAGAATACATTATACAACACTGAAGTCGACACTTTCCCTATTAGGCAACAAAGCATATTTGACTCAAGCATGTTGGCTTATGACTAATATGAACTTTGCATGGTGATTGTCCATTGAATAAAAAAAACTTTGCCCACTTTTCATTATCATTCATCTCATTACATCATTCTTAAAACTAAAGCCTGAAAATGCTATCTTTGGCCGGATCTGTACATTTTCATATCTTACTAGCAAATCGTGCCTTTAATTGCAGTTTTCACATCTACTTTACATTCTTTGACTGTACACTTTGCACAGTTAGGCCCAGCTGTAACAGAAATAAAACAATGTGGAGTTTGTGAGGTTTCTAAGTACTTTCTGTTTCCTGAGCGTTCGAAGAAGCTACCATGAGATATTTTACTTTCAGTGCTAAGCAGCCTACAATGAGAACATGTGTAGTGTCTGCTCATACAATACAGAGTCAAATGATTTACATTCAAGGTACTCTATGTAACTCTATTAACCTGTCTCATATAAACCATAGCATTATAAAGGTTGTTTAACACATTGTACTTATATTCACATGTTCACTTATTACACCCTATTTGCTATTGTGCATCAGCAAAGTAATCTGAGACGATAACATCGTTGGTGGCTGGAAGAAGCTCATATTATTGCATGGTACTGCAAAGTGCGCTCATGCTCTACAAATGCATAGCTAATATGTTACAAGTGTTTTTTTTTTTTCACATAGACAATAGTGCTTTTTAGTATCAAGAAGTGCTGCAGTGAGCGATGGAAGACCTAAGCTTTGGTTGCAACAGATAAAATGAAATTTCAACTTGCCAAGGAGGAAATTTCATCAGACTAAAGGTACAATTTTTTTTAACTTTCCACTGAAAGCAGCTAAACAAGCAGCAGCAGCAGCAGCAAGGACTGCGTGGCCCGCTGCTGTCCTACAGCGTGATGCAAAAATATTCTAGCAGTATGAGTTGGAGGGTAAAGATATGCATTTACACTCTTGTGGTCCTCTGTACATTATGTTGTTTTGTGTGTGTGCACTCGTGTTTGTGTTGATGCTTCTCCACATGGCCATAGGAAACAGTTCTTTCTGAAAGATCTTTAGTCTTGTGTGTGTGAAAAGAATGCGAGAAAACTTTGGGGGTTTTCTTCGACCGTTGTTACAGATGTTTGCAAGGTCAAACACTCAGTGGCACCAGTGTTTGACATCTCGACTATAAAATAAGCTACCAGATTTAAGACAGAATGAGAAGTTTGGTATCAGGGTCATATTGTCCTTTCGGGCATTATCACTCCCACGTTAGTTTTGATTCTTCAGTACAACTGTCTGTTAGCTCTCAAAAAGGTACAAATGACACAATCCCATTTCTAAAGCCCCATCCTTGAGAATGTGTTCTGAGCACACTGTTATTGGCAAAGCTGCTATCTACTGACACTTAAGCAATTCTGAAACCACTTACATGTGCCATTCTGTATAGGTAATGCACTGTTATAGGCTGCAATACAACAAATATAAGCATATATACCTTTAACAATCTGAGTATGTGTCATCTTAAAGCTTAACATCTCAAAGCTCCATGCTTGTCCTTATGCTCTCTATTAAGTTTGTTGTTTTTATTCAGTTGTGTTTCAGTCATCTGGATTTTTGTTGCACTGTCTCAGTTTGCAGATGAGCTCATGGATTACGAGCTTTGTTGTCAAAAATTGCTCCACGAGAGATTGTCATTAAAAGGTATATTTAAGATGTCATTATAGTTTATACAGTTAGATACTTTTTTAGCTTTAATCAGTCTCAAAAATGGCTCAGGAAAAACAAAATGTATTCATACAAGTCTGAATACCTTAAACTCATGGTCCTGTGATCCACAGTGTCAAATCTAAACCCTATCTGAATAAGCTATTATGGTTAATTCAGATCAAGCTGGCTTAGATGAGGCACTTCAGTATTTCACCCTGCGATACAGTGTGAGACTTGTTGGCTTCTCACGCAACATGGGGCTTGATGTGAACTTTTAAACCCTTACCAAAATACATACTATGTAGAGCACCAGGCATTAGATCCCACTCAGCCAGAAAAACAAAAACCAAAAAATATATATAAAAAAAGAATGAGGAATTTGAAAACATAAAACGGGTATCTGTGGTTGTTGTAAGTGCTATTTCCCTCTCCCCAAACCCCCCAGTCGAACCCCCGCCCACTTCCCCAAAGGTCCTGTGACGCTAGTCGCTCCTGAACTCCTCTTCAATTTCTGGAAGGTTCTTTTTCTCTCTCCTCAGAGTCTCGGTCAGCGGCCTGGCGCTGCTTGGGGACTCCAGGTTCTTGGGTTCATTGGTGCGGTAACTGCCCTTCTGCTGATACGCATAGACGTAGATGCTGTACAGGCCTCCAAAGAGCAGGAGCAGCGCCAGGATGACAATGACTGCGGGATAAAAATAGCACAGTCAGAGTTAATCTGTAACACAATGAGGGAAGAGGCACTCCTAGAATACTGATGAGGAGCAGGCACTTCAAACTGAGTTTTTAATGCTTTATTATTACCTTATATCAGTCAAATTGTTGGAATTGGTGAAACTGTGACTGGAATTTTCTACAATCTTAATAAGATATGTGCAGTCCCAGAATCACCGTCCTTAAACATGCAAGTCAAGTTTTCAGTCCAAACTGCCTCTTGCAAATGGTCTTCAACTTCTTGTTGAGGCATACACTAGCAAGTACTATGTGAGTAATTTATATTTCTTTTTCTAGTTCTGAGAGGTAATTTCTGGTGCTGTTTTTTTTATTAGTCTGTTCAGCCAAGTGGACACCGGTAGCATTAGCAAGTCCTTTCTATTTGTATTATTTCTGTCTTTCTGTGTATGTTTAAGAACCTTCTCATACAGCAGACCAAAGTGCTTCACAGGGGGAAAGAAAGGAGGGCTCATATCAGTTACACAATAAAGAAAAAAAGGGCAGAACAATTAAACAGCTGGAGAGAGGACGTGTTTACATCATAAGAGCAATGGAAATGGAGAGGAAGAGAGAAAATCATTTTGTGAGAATGCCAAACCAAATTAAAACATCCTGAGTGCTCGGAATATCAGATTAGGTATATTTTATTATAACAATACATAAGACTTCTACAGTGCTTTTCTGAAAACTCAAAGATGCTCTAACAAAGAATAACAACAAGACAAAAGAGTGAAAACAATACAATATGGAAAGAATGTAAGAGAAGGAGGATGAGTTTGTTGGTTGTAGTCGATGTTGAAGAGGTGAGTTTTTAGGGATTTCTTGAAGGTGAGGAAGGAGGGGGAGTCTGCGATGGTTTTTGGGAGTGAGTTCCAGAGGGTGGGAGCGGCAATGGAGAAGGTCCCACCTCCCCAGGACCAATGGTTAGTCCTGCATGGGGGGACAGGGGGTGGGAGTATGCTAGTGGAGGAGCTCAGACAGGTAGAGGGGGAGCGAGGTAATGGAGAGTTTGAAGAGGATACGCTTGGGGATGGGGAGCCAGTGGAGGTTATGAAGGAGGGGGGTGATGTGGTCACAGGTGTGGGAGTGTGTGAATATGGAATTGATAACAGAATGAAAACAGAGTATGCTCTCGGGACGTGGTACAGATGGTGCTTTTTGGGAGGTCTGCTGGGTTTGTATATTAAGATCATTATTTCATATAAAAGCCATGCTGCAACCTTAGAGGCTAAGAAATGAAGCCAATATGTGAAGGCTTAAAACTGCAGTTCCTCACGTGGCCACTTGAGGCTTGCACATAAAGAAAACTCAATCCCATTTGGGCCTCTTTTAAGAAGCCTAACTATGTAGATATATGCTATAGATAACGTAATTGGTGCTGAATTACTCACAAGTTAAACATTCATAAAAGCATAAAATAATGCATCATTTGGGGCAAGGTTGCTTTAAGTGACATGTGGATGCTGCTAGCTCTCTAATGGACATCACCTTGTCTAATTCAGTAACTGACGATAGTGCTTTAGTCTTGATGGAGTTTTTAAGGGAAATATGGTATAAATAATTTGACTTGCTGTATGTGCTAACAAAACATCCAACAAGTCTGTGCCTCTGCCTTTCGGGGCGTGATAATCCAGCATCGATACATTTTTGCATGTTGGCATTAATTAGCTTGTTGAAGTGGCTGGGCTCGTTGACTGTACCTATCTCCTTAGCTGCAGGTGTTTCTCATACATTGACTGATGTGCAAAGAGTCAGGATTGTTATTGCTTTTTCCCTGTAGAGAAGAGAGTGGGCTGCAGTTATGAGAAAAATTGTTCTCTGAAGTAACAAGGTTTGTGTTATCAAACGTTCTCTTTCAGAGGCTGTCTTTGCCTTTTTAGACTGATGAAAGCACATTTCTGTTTGCCAAGCCTTCAATCTGCTCTGGTGCCACTGTCTCGTCCAAATAGGGTTACTTACTACCCAGAAACCAAGTTACTGAACTCAAGGTATCATTAAGGCTGAGGTCGGCCCATGGATGACGTTGCGATGGCCACATCCATTATCCATACTGTCAATGGGGCCATGCCTTTTATACCACGATGTTTTGGTAAGGACCCGTGCTACTTGGATTTTCTGCAGTACATAAAATGTTCCATTTTCATTTTAAAAGGTCAAGTCAGAATCCCAAATTACTGATGGGTTCTTGCCTGTGATCAGCTTCCTTTAGCTTCCTGAAAGCCCCTTTAACCAGAAGTATTTTTAAGTAGTTGAAGCTGTACTCTCACAACTAACGGTTTAGACTTCAGGTCTTTCTCACTATAGTTTGAATATTCTCTCTGCTTTTGCTTTGGTTTCCTGTTTCCTGACATGTGGGTCAGGTGAACTGGATACATTACTTTGCCTATAGGTGTGCTTTGTTTGACAGTCAGTGTTTTTACAGTGTAACTGTCTTTAAAAGTGTCCACAGTGTTTCCTCGCCTAACTGCTAATGCATGTTGGGAGAAGCCTGGGCCCCTCAGGCTTATAAACTTAAGTGGATTTAGAGAACAGACCAGCTCTGTTGATGATGTTTATAATACATACTGCACCTGGCACAAGGCTGGAGGAGATCACTAACACAGACATTTGTTCCCTGTACAGTGCACCGATCTTAAATGCAACATATTGATGTCCTGTATTAACACCTCTGAATCTGTATGATACACTGAAGCATCTATCAACAAGGAAAAGTCTTCTGTCATTGCACTATTCAATGGTTGTTGGTGGGATAGATACATAATGACATTATTGTTTAAGGTTCAGTATGTAATGTATATGATCTATTTTGGGATAAGTGATGTATACAAATGTAAAGGTCTAACAACATAGCGGACATTTAAAAATTAAGAATATTGGTTTCTATGCAAAGACAAAAAGGTTTATTTTACTGTCATTTAATCCACTCATATACTCAAGTCGATAGAAAAATAGATTTGATCTGAATGGAATCAAATTTAATCTTCAGTTTGAAAGTAACACATTAAGAATGTCTGGTTTGTTTTTTGATGAGTGTGTGGGTGTGTGTGTTAGTGGTGGGGGTGGTAAGGGGGGGGTTAGGAGGTTATGTCTCTCGTAATAAATTTGAGCTCTCAGACGAAAGCTTGAACAACATACAAAATCCCACTTTGGAATCTGACAACCCTGCTCTAATTTAGGATTAAAGGATTTTAGAAAAAAAAAAGTAAAAAACCTTTAAAGGACTGATTTGTGTTATCTAGGACAGGAGAGAAACAGGAGCAGTGCTTCAAAATAGACTGAATAAAAAAAGCTTAATGTCACATTAATGGTCATGTTTTGAAACGCACTGAGTCAGACGGAAGGTGCACTGTTTGTAGAGTAACATTAACAGAAAATACAGAAGAGAAGCAAACCATTATAATAAGAAGAGAACAAAGAGTGACCTTACCTGTTATCCAAAACAATCCTAAGTCATCATGGATATAAAAATACTCTGAGGGAGAGAGGTACACAAATAAGTGAATGAACACAAGTTACAAAAATGTTGTTTTTTACTGATGCATTATGGGACTCACCTATGCCAGTAAACCAGGGGTCTACTTCCCAAGGTACATAACCCAGAATAGGAGGGAAAGCGCCACAGTTAGATTCAGACACGTAGCCTTGCGTCGTTACCGGAGGGTCTGTTTCATTGGGTCGGAAGAAAGCCTTCAGAGGGGCGTAGACGTTGTACCTCACCCCAGATATGCAGCCTATGAAGCCGGGAGCGTTATGCCTCTGGATCTCGTAGTCAATGTCTCCAACCTCTGAAAGAGCACAAGGAAACAATGCAACATTGATGTACATTCTTACATGACAGCAGCATGAATTCCTGCATCCACAAGTTAAAACCAAATTCTTACCCATCACTCTGCCGAGGAACATGGACTTTGGAGAATCAAACCTGGCATCCTCCACTAGTGTTATCTTCTCAACTATAGGCTCCATATAATCCACCTGTGGGCAAGACAAAATAAGTGATCATCTTCACAGAAAGGGAATTGATCCAAGGAATGAAAAATTGCATCTGCATACTAATCAACTAGCAGAACTAATAATCATAATATAACAGGTGTTATGAATACTTTCAAACAGAATAATGCTTTGAAAAGTCAGGTTTGATTTTTAATGTGAACAATTACTAAATCAATGTGTTGCAATGAATGAATCACTGTCTTCCTGTAATATACAGACATGATAGTTCCTCTTGTTGTCTTGTTGGAAATGTTGTGTGATAGCACAACAGTCTGGTTTTTCCAGACCTAATACATTATTTTATTTTATTTTTTTATTGTTTTTTTAACATACGGTCCACAAACCATATAACATGAACCATAGATCAGAGTTTACACAGTGACAGCAGGGAGGACATGAACCTGTGTTTTGATGGTTCTGTTGTGTCTGGTTATGTTGACATAGTGGGGGTATCCGTCTGCTAGGTTACGGTGAGTCAGCTGGTACTTGTGTGTTATGAGCCCCAGCTTATACCTCAGATCGACACTACCTGTGGAGAAGGAGGAACAAAAGAAATCATTATTGTTATTGTAAAGGAGATGACATCAACAGGGCTAGTTTAATCACAGTTAAATAAAAAGAATCTCCTGCTATTCGAATGTAATCCTGCTCAAAATTCCAGTTTTAACATTCTCAGACAAAATATTTCCAAGCTTTTTCTACCTACCGTCAGTCTTGAGGATGACAGCGATGTAGTCTTGGACAAAGGAGCTGATGTAGAGCAACACAGCTGGCGCGTGAACTGTGCTGAAACTGAACTCGATGTCATCTGCTGTGTCGTTGTAGCCCAGGCTAAAGTTGTCGTAGTGAGGGTCGATCCAGTTTGCCCATGCTGCTTCGTCTGTTATAGGCTTTTTTCTTATGTTGTATTTTAGCCAAGACCCGATTTCAAAGAAGGCTCCGATATCTTAAAAAAAAAAAAAAGCATAATTAAATTAGATATCTACATCTTTTCCAATGAATAAGTGGTGAGAAACAAGTTTGAAATCACCTTTATGGCAGTAGAAACCATCAAAAGCTGTGTTGTTACAATCACAAGTGTAGGAAGCATAGCCCTCAATGCATTGGCCGCTGTTTCGGCATGGTATAGTAGCATTCAGACACTGTCCAGTGCAGTTCCTCCTTATTCCCTGTTCTTCATTCACTTTGCCCTCTAGATCAAGAGGAACACCATTGAACCGTAACCCTCGCAGACACCCCAAGAAAGGTCTCAGCGTGCGGTTGGCAGCACCTTAAGACAAAGACCATGTGTTAATGGTTATTCATCATCATCCAAAGTTGTAGAGAGGATGCCTTAAGTACAGTTTGGGTCATGCAGTTTTAAAATCCAAATTGTCCACATACCTACTAGGATAGGATGTGTAAACTTCATGGTGACGAAGGTCTGACCTGGAAATCGCGTTACAGCCCAAGGCTGATAGTCAACCTTGATGCGGGCCAGCTTCACATTAATTTCTGCCTGAACAAAGTGCCACTCGTTGTCATTAAGCGGTACAGGCGAGCGTAGTGTGGCATTGAGGATGCCATCACCAACCATGAATATAAATAAGAGGTTGTGAGTTGCTGAAGAGGAAAGAAGAAATGGAAGTAAACATTAAAAACAGATTATATTTCTTCAGTCTTTAAATCACATCAGTAGAAAAGATCAATGCCTATTCCTGTGAGCTAACTTACTATTCATCTCTATTCGGATGAAGTTCCGAAGTTGGTCATCGGAGTTCTCCAGGAAGACGCCATGGTCACGATAGGTTTTGAAATGGAAAGAGATGTCAGCGCTGGTGCCAGGCCTGAAGGTGGGGAAGGTGATGTAGGTGGGCTTAGTGAAAGCGATGGTGTTCCATATGCTTCCTGTCGAAAAACATTAAAAATAAACATGTATTTGTTAAAGACACAACCTTTAACCCTTCAGACACAGTGTACAACATGAGGTGAGAACAATCCATATTACTGTCGCCATGGCAGCGGAGGGGCCCAACGGTGAACTGCGCCTCTGACCCAGTCCTGTTGGTGTCCCCGACCACAATTCTCCTCACAGGCAGATGGTCTCTAAAGTCCAAGTAGCCCTTATCGGAATACCTGAAAGCCACAGGGGAGGAGTAAGGAACTCATCTTCAGCTTCACAGATGAAACCTGCTCTGGGTTTCTCTTACCATTGTCTGTAGTCAGCATCACAGTTGCATTGAAACTTGGGATCGGTGCAGGTTTGGTTGATGGCACAGCCACACATCTGGACTTCTCGGAAAGTTCCACCCCAGTAATAGTGACTCTCATTGTTACGACCAATCCAGTAACCAAAAGGTCTTCCATCTATTTTAAAAATATAGTTTTCATTTGCGATTTAAGTTTCCTATCTTCCAGGTTTTATGTAAGGAAATCATACATAAACTCACTGATGCTACTTACTGGGGGTGTTGAGGAGCCGGGATTTGTAGCAGGAGTAGTCGATCCACTGCTCACAGTAGATGGAGGTGTTGGCTAAAGCACTGACTTCATCCCAGGAGGCGTTCCAGTAGTTGACGTTGCCTATATAGGGCCGATCTATTGAACTCCCAGTCACCTTGGTACCATCCACTCGATCATTTAAAATCACTGTCCAGGCTTTATATGCTGTGAAGAGGCATGACAGATTATTCTAAAAAGGAGCTTTATGTTATGTTTACACTGCTGTTTTGACACAGGGAAATCCTAATGGATAAATAAAGTTCTCTGAATTGAGATATGCCATAGTTAATTCATGTTAAAAGAATGTCACTGCAGGGAATAATAGTAAAAGTGATGACAAGTGAAATATATTGTATTATATATGAGATTAGACACAAAGGAACAGCCTGTGTTTTAATGCCTTTCAGTTCCCATGAAACTTCAGCACACATTTCTCATTAAAGGAATATGATAAGCTGCCTTGACTTTTTAATTAACAACTCAAAGAAGATTCATGCAAACACTGAACACACTGCTGAAGAAGCTGTACTTTCTCCGTGACAGAGATGACTCACACTTCATTTTGCAGTACACCTCAAATGGTTTGAGCGGCCCGCTGAGATCAGGATCGATGGTGTAGTTTCCGGACCAATACTTGCCGCTGAGTCTGTAGGCCTCGCATGATTCTTTATAAACCGCTGATCAAGAAATCAATGATTTTTATGATTAAGATGAATTACAGCACAGGCCGAGTGTAATATCCTATAAAAGGAACACTTATTACTGCACTTACACATGTGACACACTTCTCCTTTGTAGCCTGTGTTCTCACACAGACAAATGAAGTCATCCCACGACTGGATGCATCTGCCTTCATGTTCACATGGACTTGGTGTACATCTGTAGACAAAGCAGAACATTTTCATGAAACAAAGGGGCGATCTCATTTATTTCCAAATTCTGCCTTAAGAGAGCCTTGAGGTGAGGGTTAATGAGGTAAAAACTAATTTCTATATCTATAAATTCTATCATTAAGCTTCAATATACTGCTGAATTACATTTGACTGGTTCATGCTACATATAGGAAATTAGGTGATATGACTAACCTGTCAGTGATGCCACAGGTGCCCAACAGAAGCTCTGCATAGCGACCCCATTGTCGTTGCAGAATAATGTCGATATCGAGCTGCTCATTGTCGATGAAAATATGCTGCATACAACCATGGAATCGGTTCAGCTTGGTCTCACATTTCCGTATCGTGTTATTGGTTTTGGGACAGCCTGAGTGCACGGAAGCAAATGCATGAATTGGAAAGCACTGATTTGTGAGTTGATTTTAGGAGTTATTAAGTCATTCTCTCACCTCCAAAAAAGTAGCGGTCTCCAGTTCGAATCATGAAAGGGTTAGTAATCTTTAGTGGAGAGCCCTCCTCCTCATCAATTGTGAGTGTTAGCAGATTGTCTCTCGCTGCCAAATCCACTGAGTGCCAGTAACCATCATTTAGTCTGTACCCTAGAGATTGGAGAAATTCAAGTCATGCAATGTGTCTGAAACAATATTCCATTCAGAGATAACATGCAATGAACAGCATCTATTCAAAATTAAACAGCTAAACCCAACAAACGGAAAGGATTTTCCAATCACAGCTTAGCAGCCAAGACAAAGCATGGCAGGGCTGCCAGGCTTTGCGCACAGGACTATAAAAAGAGCTCTGACGCTACATTTAACATCCAAAGAGTGTGGAGGTTTGCCTTCACAGGAAGAAAATACACGAGAGCAAATGTTTAAGGAATGACTAAACAGTGATTTATCTGCGGTTATATAAGCTGCACAAACTAACATGACCTGCAAACAAGTATAGCCTTTTAGAAAGATATGAAGTCATAGCATTTAAGGGTTTAATGTTGACGATCATTTTCACACTCTAATCAAATCAAGCAGAATGTAAAAGCTTTAAAATGATCATGATTAGTTAGCTAAAGATGAATATCAAACCAAGCAACTACATCATAGACCACAAATAAAAAGTAATCCTTGGTCTTCTGAAGTGCCACCTTTCTCACTTGAGGCTGCTATTATGTGCCGATAGAAAGAAAGCTTAAAAAGCATAGCAGTGGTAACTCGCAGGGAAAGACGTGATTAGCTGTCATTTACATCAAGTTTTTTTATTTCAAAATATTCTGATGATTCTTTCTGTTTTCTGATATGGTCCAAAAATGACATAAGCCCACCTGCAGCAAATTGGAGTTTCTTTTTTCCAGGCTGGAATATGGTGACGTTGATCTGTCCCTCACTTAATCCCAGCTCGAGGGCACCCAGGTCATCGGCAAAGCGTGTAAACATTAGCAGCCCTGTGTAGTCCCAAGAGCGGAACTTAAACTTGACAAACATGCGAGGCCTTCTGAAGAAGCCCGGCACCTGCAGGTAGTTGTTTGGGCCGGCAAAAGTCATCGGTTTGAGCAGAATGTCCCTGCAGGCATAGTGCATCTTTTTCTGAGGAGGAAAAAGGACAAAAACATGTTTTTTAATTAAGGCGAAAATATTTCCAGTGACTGTTATTTTACTGGGAGCAAAGAAAAACATGATTTTAAGACTTACTACAGACAATGGAGTCGATCATTACAGTGATAGCATGACTTCAATTGCTGTAGAGACGCAGTAATGGTTTTACCTTGCGTGGGATGCGGATGTCTTCTTCTTCTCTCTTCGCCTTGTAAATGATGTTGACACCATTGATGAAGACGTTCTCCAGGCAGCCACGGAAATTTGGTGTAGTGGGCAGGTGAGGCAAATTTTGCTCTATGACACCTCCTACATATAACTAAGAGAAAGGTGTAAAGGGCACCCACTCATCAAGTATTCAAATAAGCACATTAAATGTCCGGTAAGTAATATTTGAAAAGAGGCGTTAATGATCATACTGTATTTATAGTACCTGCGTATCCAGATCCAAGTGTGTAAACTCTCCATTACAGATGGCTGTCACTGTATGGCTGTCCACTGTGAAGTTCACCTGGCGACCATAGCGCTTAATGGTGACATAGTGCCAGTGTAGATTATCAAGGAGGCTGCCAGCAGTCAGCGTAGTCCGCCCATTAACTTTGTGTACTATACTGCTTCCTGAAGAAGAAGAAAAAAAGAGGGCAGGAACAAGAGGAGGAAAATACAAATGCTTAAACCAGCTTCAGGTGATGAGAGGAGATGCTGAAATGATATTGAGGTTTCACTTTACCTAGGCTGATGTGCAGGTAAAGACGGCCTCTCTTGAGCTCCAGTGTGAAGAGGTCACCTTGAATCCCCTCACTATGTAACAGCAGACCATCCTGCTCCAAAGTCTTGAAGTTTATGGCAATGTGGTCTTCTAGTGTACGGGACCTCTTCCCAGGGTACATGTAGACCACCGAGTCATCCCCGTTATACTGTAGCACATAGGAATCTGTGGACAACATCTCAAAATGAATCAACATTTCCAAAATCACTGCAGCAGATTTAGTATTAAGATATTCCCCATTTTTTTTAGGTAATGTGCATATTAGGTTACAGATACAGAGTCTTATGTAGTATTTTTTGAGGGATTACAGATTATCTGAGTAAGCGCTACATGTCATATTTCCTGGAGTTCTCAGACAAGTTGGCATTTAGTTAGTGAATGATGATCCTTAGCCTAGTCATTTTTGAACAAGGAACATATCTTGCACTTCAATTTAGTGACACGTTATCAAATATGAGTAAGGGTTGGGATTGTAGAATGTCCCTGGATGTGAATCAGAGGCAGTAAATCCCCGTCAGTGAGTTTTACCATAAGAGCAGCCATAGAGCTCCAGCCTCACTCCGATCTTTCCTCCGTTCTCTGTGTTCCAGGCCAGAGGCAGTAGGCGTATGTGTTTAGCAGTAAAGGCGTAATGGAAGACATTCCTCTTCACCTGATAATAATTCCAGTTTCCAGGCAGCGTCTGCAAACAGATGAGAGCGGGCAAGGGAGAGAGTGGAGAGAGTTATTTAGTCACTGCGACGGTGTTAACGTCTTATTAAGGGACTGGAGATGAACTGATGGTGAGATTAGCTCTGTCAGTGTGGAGAGAGACAATATGCTGTGCTGACTTGTTACAGTGCCAGTGACAGTGAATATAATGGAGCACACACTGACTGGAGAATCAGCTGTAAAGATTACATTTGACCGGTTAAGCCTCGCCTCATCCCTTCCCCACCACCCTGGCTCAGAGAAACCTACCGAGTTTCCTCCTTGCATGATGTACGGCGTCCAGGAGTCTGGTCTATCACCGTACAGCAGGGTGTACTTGGAGACCCAGTCATACGAGTTGAAGGTCCCCTGGGTTGCAATGGCCTGCAGTCGATACTTCCTGCCCAGGTCCACCTGCAGCCATGGCTGTCTGTCTCTGGGGGATGGGGACCAACCACTGCTGCCTGAGAAGGGAAAGATACATGGACTTGATAGGGGTTTGATAAATACAGAAACCATGACTCATGCATTTGTGACAATAACTGAACAGGTCTTTTCTGGCAGACATTTTAAACATGAATCCAATTTAGAGAGCAGATGTAGAGAGCAGGGAGATTTAAGATACTGCACTTCTGGTTTTGCAGATTACCCACTATAAAGCTCTATTCATTTATGTGACTGCACTTACACTGCGGGTCTATTGTTTAGCAAATAACAAGGACGTTAGCTAATTGAAATAGCTGAAAGAAGATCACCAAGGAATTGAAAGCGTCATCTACTCTGAGTGTGGTTATTTCATTGTGTTGCCACAGCGGAAGTAGCATTTTGTCATGATGGGCATTTTGACATGCAAATCACAAAGTTAACTTAATAAAAGTACATCTACGTAGGTAGATGTATGCAGATGTTTCTACTTCCAAAAAAAGATAAAATATCTGCGACTAGAGAGGTCTGAAGGTCAGTGGTGCACAATCATGGATGAACTCATCCCTACAGTTTGGAACTTACCATACAATTTGGCGAAGTTGGCAGAGTAGAGAAAGTTATATCTGGAGGAAGCCAGGAAGGAGGAGGCATAGAGCCCAGACACCAGCGGATCAACACATTCCTCTGAAGTGAGGATAGAGAAAACACAGGGAGTCAGGCGTTATTACAGGACTGTTTTTCATGCAGCACTTTTCATTATTATTCAGATGTGGGCAGCAGAGACTAACACAGATGCACATCTTAATAAGAAAAGACCCTTTGAGCTTAACTAGAGGCACGTTTGTGCTCCACTGGATAGGATACACATGTACCCGTATCAATGTAATAAAAATGGGTGTGTGAGATCACAGATTCATGTTCCACAGTAAGGCATATAAATCTGTCAAGATATCAGGACATCTTCACTGAGAGTGCATCATGATTTCATCACGGGATGGGTGGGACTGGAAAATAAAATTCTCGACTAACGCCGACTGAATGTGCACCATCCTCTGAGAAAAACTGCTGTTATCGTCATGCAGTTTTTACAACGCCCCCGTCCTATTTAAAAAAACAAATATGGATCTATTCTTGTGTTGATCAATGTTGCGGTCACATAATAATAATGTTGCAGCAATCTATTACTGTTGTGTGTACACGCCTGTCAGTGCCTGTACATTCTGTATAAGTCTGTTAATTTTCTTGAAAAAGCACTGAGGTTCAATGTGCAAGAAAAACAAAGTCACACTGAGTCTATTCTGCATGAGACTGATAGGACCATCACCCATCTGCTCAGGCTCGCTCCCCAGCCCCCAGCTAATAAAAATGACCATAATTCAACATAATCTGGCCTGTCGCTGCTGAGGATAAATGCTCGATGCCCTCACCTCGAGCTGCAAGAGAAACACTGTCTCATTTTAAGTGCCAAAGTATGCTCTTTAAATCACCCAGAAGATCAGACAATTTAATATTGATCTGCAAAAAAAAATATCTAAATGAAATATACATGGTTCTTTTAAATATTAAGGTAGACACAAACATAAATAAGAATGTTTTAGATCCATTGTGCACAAGACCAACTTAAATAGGACTATATAGTAAACAAAAGGCTTTCCTCCTCCCTTATCAGTATAATCCTCTTTTAACATTTGGAGTTGTTTACTGGTAAACAGTATTCTGGCATTTTAATCCCTGTTCTTACACTCAAAGAGGTCATGGAGCACAGAAGAAAGGCAGAATACAGTGGCTGGAAGCACGAGCACCAGCAGAATTAGTATGCAGGCTGCAGTTGGAGCAAGATGAGGAAGAGTACTGGATGTACTCAAATTCTAAATAAGTTTTTCTGGGAGCAGAATACTTATCACAGCAAACCCTGCAGGAATGACAACATAGAGGGCTTTCATCCATTGCTGTTTAATGCCTTAAATGACGTGAAACATGCAAGCCGTAATACAAAATGAAAGAATAGTTTTCTGCCTCATGAATAACTTGGTTACATGAGCATGAGTTGTGATACCTTTGGTGCAAGGACATTCTGCACAGTCAAGTGGAGAAAACATGCTGAGCACGGGAGATATGACCTTGACTTTCTGCGTTTGTCTGCCACCGTAAGAGGCTTTCTAAACCATCTCTGTCATACTGAAATCCCTGCTGGGGCTGCAGAGGGTCGATAATAGATCTCTGGTGCATCGCTCCCTTACCAAACTGAAAAGCCCTTTCAAGTCATTCACAGCCCTGGTGGCTCTTCAAACAATAATATTTAGAAGCTTAGCGCTGCAGACAAAGTTCATTTGCTGTAAATGGCTTAATGTTTATCGATTTCTTTTAAGTTCTCAATTAGAAGTTAAAAGAAAGGGAGTTCGACTTTAGATGTGGGGAGCAGCACATTCCCAGACTGCAGCAGGTTAACCCAGGCCACTCCACTCCTCGGCTCCTCCTTACTGTCACGCACTCCACACCCCCTAAATTCATTGTCACGCTTCTATTCTCCCAGATCCGGCTCCATCTTAACCCCCAAGTGCATTCACTCATTCCCGCTCTCACTGCGTCCCATTACATCATTCTCTCACTAATTATAATCCTGCTATTTTTTAACTTCCCTCTCTCCCTTCCTGCCTCGCTCTCTTCCCATGTGGGCGTTGTCATGTTGCGGTAGCTAAAGTGTACCTGAATGCTGTGCAGAGCATCCAGTCACCAGGTTTTCAGCCCTTGCCATGTGCTCCTGCAACCCCGCCCCCCCCCCTTCTCTGCACCACACAGAGTATACTCTTTCTCCATTTATCAAGAGACTGTGGGGAGCAGTGTTGCTGTGTGGAGCTCTAGCAGCACTCTTGCTGAATCATCAGTCTGCTGTAAGTGTGGGCTGCACTGTCTAGGCTGACACATCATTACTGCTGGCTGCATACAGTATAGAGAGGCTCCTCCTCTGGATGTCACTGGCATGCGTGATGCGTGGCAGCTGAGATCTCAGACAGAAACTCTTTGTATGCAGATGTCAGCTCACTGCAGCTGTCCACCAACACATCATTGACAAATTACTGCAACAAAACAGTGCATAGGTGAAGTAAATATAGCATGTTCTGTTAAAGGGGTTCTAATAAATCATTCATGGCCAGGCAGGCATCGCAGCGGGGGGGTGTATGACCACTCCCCTGGATAAAAAAACACAAACATTTGGACTTAAGTTCAGACCTCAAAACAGCTTCTTCTCTGACTAAAGAAACAAGACAGCTCACTCAAACACAGCAAAACAGCCCTCCTTCTCTGGATAGAAAAATTCCCCTCACATGTACCAGTCAGTTTCCTGTCTCATGGGCTGGCCACGACAGAATGCAGAAAGCATAAAACTTATACATATGCATGACAGCCTCCTGTTTCAAACATACACCAACACACCCTCTGCTCCATCCAAGACTGAGTCCCTGTGCTGTGTGATCTGAGGCTCCATTTTAATCTGGCACAGCTCCACTGTACACATCCACATGGCAGATAAAGTTGACCTATGGCCTGCAATCATGCACCAGCAGGATGTACAATAAACCAAACCCACAGGCCTCTACTGGAGCGTTCATGTATCCATGAGGTAAACAAACCTTCATTCAAACACTTGAAATATGATGTAGTCCTTCACTTGTTAGTTCTCTCAACACAGCAATACATCATCATTCACTTCCCAGCATAAGAAAGTTTCCTGATGTGAGCAGCAGCACAGCATCTATGCAACCTTTTTTTTTATCCAAAGTTTGATTCAAATTATAGAACAACATCTGGCAGGATTTTATGCCTTTATGTCTTGTATGCAAATGCAATGCAAAGTAGATCCACAAACATCAAATTCTAATACTGTAAACTTGGTTAAGTTTTTGTTTCCCATCGTGCAGGGCAGGTTAACTGTGTTATATCTCTTCAACTCAGTTATGTTGCCTCTGATAATCGAACTCGCATTCAAATAGTGGTGAATGTTACTTATTCCTAAATTTCAGATAAATGACTATCAAGAAATCCAAGTCACAGCATCCCTCTTTCCTGGTATCCCACTGATATCAAAATGAATAACTCATGCAATGCACTGTTCGGGTTAATGACCTGCCAAGCCCCTTTGAGGACATCCTCCACTGACATCACACAAAGCGTTAGTATGCATACAAGCTCTGTGATAAAAAAGGGTGGATGGTGCCTTTACCCCTAGCCCAATTTTAACCTCAAACACAACCCCACCTCTGCACAACTAAACACAGAAGTCATCTATCTTGCAATGCGTGATGATCTCCCTGCAAGGTGGATCCTCGCGCGTCGCCTGCAGGATTTCGGGCTGTGCGGACAGGTGATGGAAACCACAGGCTTCCCAAAAAAAAAAAAAAAAAGTGCTGCAGTGGGCTGGTCCCGGTCAGGACGATGAACCATGCTCTCTCTAACGCCACTGCAAAAAATGTGCTTAGCGGATTTTGAGCATCAGCCATTCACACTGTTAACGCGATTTGGAGATTATTGTTTTACAAACAGCAAATCACTCTTTAAGAGCATCGTGCTTTAGGGAGAAGTCGAGAGTTGAAGCTGCACGCTGCAGAAACTTGCGTGCTGACTGAGAAGCACTGCAATGCAGACAGTGGAGTCGCGATGGGGGATCGCCGTGCGCACCTTCCGCAGGGCCGATGCGGTCTGCTTCTAGACTTTTTTTTTTTTTGAATCCCACAAAACAATGCCCACATTAACTTACAAAGCAGTGAAAGTCAATCACCTGTGTTTTAATGCTGTCTTGTTTCGCAGCAACGTGATTTACCCTTCAAAGATCCAAACACCTCAAGCTACATTTTGCCCTCCAGTGGTATTTTCTACTTATCCTAAAGCGAATGTTGTAAACTTTTTCTAAAAAATATGATCATATCCTTACCAATAAGCAGAAATGGCATGTATAAACACTTTAAGGCATTTGAATGATACACTAGCAGCCGATAATAAATGGAACAATTGCTGTTTCACAAGACTTACGTGATGAGCAATGTTGAAAACCCAAAAACAAGAGGCATATGCTCAGTATTTTGCAAGTCATCCTTCACTTAGGACACGTTTCTCCGTATAGGATATTTTAATAAGATCGTAGATTGTTCCGCAGCATCCTCGCACCCCCCTTTAGCCCAACTTTAACTCGCGCAGCTCCAACTCCTCTTCCCGGGATGTCGGGCAGCCTCTACCGGGGCGGGGACGCGCATCGGGTGCTGGTGCTGATGCTGCGCTTCGCCGAGAGCGCGCACTTCTTCTTTTATATCCTTTAAATTGTTTTATTCACATGACCGTCATGTAATGGTGAGGCTCCTGCATGATATCGTTCAACATATTGATATAGGTGCTTCACTAGCAGAATGCCAGTGGGCCAGGTTGGCGTGGTCCCCGAAGAGAATAGATGTAGAGGAGACTGAAAAGGGGAGGAGGAAGAAAAAAAACTTTTTCAGTCCGCTGCAGATTGAGTATTGCTCCCAAATAGTTAAGAATAGTATTGTCCTTAAGCTCAAATCTTGTGAGACTGGTTAAAAACAACAATCTTCCATCCAGGCTGTCCAATCACCAAAGCACAAAACACATAATCCTCTTCTCTTCTGGATCTCATATCATCCCTTGGCACACTTTTCAAGGCTGCAAACTGGCCAAGAATGCACTTCACTATAGTGAGGAAGAGGTGAAGAAGTCTTTCTCTCCAGGAACGCAGTACTGGACCAAAATAGGATGTAAGTCCCTAGTATCCCGTATCAGCGGCACAACTACAGAGGATGAGAGTCAGAGTAGAGCAGCAGTTGCACAGTTTTGCGTAAAGTCTGTCTGACCTTGTCCAGGTACTCAGTTTATGTGAGTGCATTCACAAATCAGCCCAGTGGTGAACAGGTTACAGGATGATGATGCCAGCTGTGTCTGAACCTAGTCTCATCCCTGCAACCACACACACACACACACACACACACACACACACACACACACACACACAAACAAATGGGATTGGGGCAGGATGACACTGAGGCAGTGGGGGATTTGTGGCGATGGGTGGCACATTGACCAGAAAAAAAAAAAAAGGGCTTTAGGATTAAAAAGTGGGTTTATGGGACGGCAGTGTGTCAGTGATGATGTGAGATTGAATGCCTGGGCCAGCGTGGGATTTAACGTGTTTTCAATCAAATCAGATTCTCAGTTTGTAAGCTCCCTGCCAGCCATTGCACCCTCCCCCCCCCCCTTCTTCCCTAAAATACTATAAGAGTATAGAATTATAGCTGCAGGGGCAAGACAATGGCAAATGACAAGGGAGAGTAAAGTAGGACAACAAATCAGCAGGGGGAACTGGCATCGGATATGACCCACAGGCACTGCATGGTAGGTCGGTTACATTTAGCGACAGGTACAAAAATGTCTAGATGCTATTATTTAAATAACAATTTATCTGAACCAAAGCTGAAATAAATATATATATATCAAGTTCTCATGAAAATTAAGATGTGTATTTTTTGTTAGTGTTTATAGTTATGTTGATTTGCAGGTTTGTCCAAACAATCTGCCATACCGACAAGCATCAATCTCATACGACTTGTATGAGATCTGTCATACAATAATTGAGATGTAGTGATCGCTTTGTTTTTTTGTTATCGAGTTGTCTCAGATAAACTACAACATAACGGTTACATCATTTTAAACCAGCAGATGTCTTCTAATAATTGCTACAAACATCCCACACATCTGCACCTAGCTTAGACGTTCTTGTGCGGGCTTTGGTTAGGCTGAGTTGCCATCTGTTCCCCTGTTGACCTTTTACATTTGACCTCACGGTAACCATAGAGACAGACTTGTTCAGAGTTTCATAATACAGCCCAGCTGGAGTTAAACTACTCATCTGGGGGGGGGGGGGGGGGGAACAACAACACAAGGCTCAAATGATAAACTGATTATCCCGAGCCATCAGAGGGAGACTTTTCAGCAAATATGATTCCAGCTTTCCAATGCTCGACCTTAAATCTCAAGGTCATGGTGATTTTGGCAACCTCTTTGCCACAAAATATGCCTAAAATAGACCAAATCCTCTTGATCATTTCTACCAATAGAGTGACATTAATCCATTTTTATTTACAATGAAATCAGATTGTATTAAGGCAAGAAACAATATAAATCACCTAAAGTGTCTCTAAATGAATTCACTTTACACTTCAATCACTCATCACATCTGGCAATATGAATGACTTACTGATTGCTTTATGACACCTCACCTTGTTTTAAGAATCCACATTTCAATAATAGATCAAGGATTCCATCTTGAAACTGTTACGTTTACTTGGAAACATATTTAGTCAATAAGTAGTGACAGGAAATATGAATTGCAAAAGTGATAACAGTCCTCACCATATGGCTCACTGCTCTTTTTTCATCCTTTTTAATTTTAACTTCATTTACATTTTGCAGGTGCAGCAGCAGCAGTCAAAACACACTCGACCACTAGATGTCAGTCAAAACTCAGACTTGGATCTCTGTCTCATCTAAACTGCTGTCCAATGTTCTCTCTCTCTATCTATTCAACACTTTGTTCTGAAACTCTGAAGAAAATGTTTAATTGATGCCACAACATGTTCATTCATTATACATGATTGAGCTTGATGTCTTAGAGATAATACATTGAGTCTTGCAGGGCATTAGTTTAAGCTAATTAATTTGAAATAAATTAGAAAAATGCAATTAAGCAAGAGATTTTAGACTTCAAAATGAAACACAAAATCATGCAGACTACAAAATATCAATGACTTCCTCTAACTTCTTAATAAAAACACAGATGCATTAACAAACACACAGGTGGAGACTCACACTGGCTTTGTTTCTCACGGGGATTTTGTTAAGCATTATGTGTATTTTCCATAGGGGTGCCACATGCTCTTGAGGCTACAAGCGAGAAAAAAAAACACACACACATTCTCACATTCATGTATTCTCATTCGTAGACATACACCATCAAAGGCACAACAACGTGCACACAAACACTTCTTCTTACAAACAGGGTTCATGTTATGCCTCACGCAGAGATGTTTAAATTTGCTGATGTTGTTGTCATGGCTGACTGCTACCTGTCTTGAAGATGGATGAAGGAAAGCGTAAAGTTTGAGTTATGAGGGCTTTCTTTATTTTTGTGGATGTGATACGTCAAAAACAAAACAGAGGAATGCTGACAAATGCTGGTTTGACAGTATGTGTCAGAAACTGGAGAATTCAGCAAGATTGTGTTCTACTTGGACTCTGAGGCAGGTGTTTATTTTGGCCAGCACCTATGGGAACCTGATGTCCTCGCGTACTGGCGGTTGAGCCGCTGTAAACAGGGCTATTAAAGCAGCCTGCATGCTCTCAGGTGTCCATACTACGGAAAGACCTCCTGCCGGTGAGAGCCTAGCCCAGCTGAAAATAAGCCCAGCAGGAGATGCCCAGACTGTCGATCCCACCTGTGAAGATTTCCCCACAGTGTTAGCTCAACTGGTGTGTCCAGGACAGCTGCTACAACCTGTTCGACGTCTGACACAACAATGGACTCACCAAAAAAAAAAAAGTGCAACTGTCCTGGCTTCTGCTGAGAGTCTTAGATTCTAAAAAAAAGGTGGGAGAAAATGTGCAAAATGGTGTTTATTTTTCTATCTTTTTTAATGGAAGTTGTCACTTGTGTTTTCCACTTGGAGCTGGCTAAGAAGTTGTGTAGAAACACTGATCTGATGTTAAGAAAAACAAGATCCAACACACGAACAGGCAATATGAGATTTGATTTGGACAGAGCAATGCCGTCGTTTTTTGTCTCTGTGCTAAGACGATCTAGCTGGATGCAAGAGGAAGCATCCTAATTACCATTAAAACCTGCACTCCTGGCCTAATCTGAAATATTCAGCTGTACAATCCAGATCCCTCAGATTGGGATCTTCCTGTCGTACCAAGCCATTATCAGTCGTTTTAGTCTGATCTTGGTTAATGTTAGGAATAAGAAAAGATTATCATTATTTAAAGTTCCCATTCTTGTCACTGTCCCCTTACCAAGGGTAATTCTTTGTGTCTGCCTGGTCAACAACACAGGAATACTAAGCCAACCAAGCTCTCATCAGATTCCACTTTGCTCTCTTTAAACAACCAAGTGATGCTTGTGTGTTGAAGTAAGAAATCATGACAACAATGCGTATCACTGCCCCATCTTTCAACACATGAATACAGTTTTATATTTGATTAATCTACTGAGGACACATAAGCACAAAGACAGCTTCACAAAGACACAAAGAGATCAGTGCTGACACCTGCATTAAGTTTAAATACAGGCAACAGCTGCGACCTAGTGGAGATACTGAAACACTTTTGTTTCTCACGTTTGCTGCCAACACGAACACACATGGACACACACACACACACACACACACAGACCAACCAAGCAAGTGACACACACACTCACCACTGGGTTGAGTTTCCCTCATGCAGCAGACAAGCCGCAGTTATTTAGTCTGCCTCCCAGTTTGTTTGCCCACTGTCTTCTCTCCTTTGTTGCTGTGCCTTTCAGCTTTGTTTGATGGTGACTGCTGACTCTGGTGAATGACATTTGCAGCTTGGAGGGCGATGAGTGAGGAAGAAAAGGGTCATGCCAAATTACAAATCATAAAGGCGGTCATGTTGGATAAACATATACGTCTCTGTGCGTGTGTAAAAAGCAAAGCCTTATCTTCATACTCAGTAAGAGTATATATACTGGAAATAAATACTGGAAAGTATTTCAATCTAACAGAGGATAAGGTCTAAAGGAATTCTTAAGGTCCATTTCAACTGCACTATGTTATGCACACACACACGCACGCACGCACGCACACACACACACTCTAAGATATCCCGCCAGACATCCAAACTGTGTCCAAACTGTGTCCTTCCCCTCCCCAGCTCAGTTCCTTGGAGTCGAGCTCCAGTAAAGTACCTTTGGCAGGGACGCTTCAGAACGGCTTGTCCTTTCAGTGCTGGGCCCCACTCCACTCACGTCCTGCTGCAGGGGAGGGGGTTGGTGCATCTGGAGGGCAGCAATCAGCGCAGCTAGGACGGGAGGTCTATTTTGCAGTGTTTAAAACCTGTTTGCAATGATTTTATTCTGAAACGGTGGGGGGGGGGGGGTGAAAAGTAACAAAAAAATATCTTAGCTCTTATTACCAGAAACTCGTCTGTTCAAAACTAGA